ATGTATGTGTGCGTAAGTACATATTTCGGCTTTTGATAAACAGATGGCGCTATATAGATATTTGCGGGATTCTCGGGACTTGTCGATATAATAATCGATATTTTGTCGGATTTGNTCGGCTTTTGATAAACAGATGGCGCTATATAGATATTTGCGGGATTCTCGGGACTTGTCGATATAATAATCGATATTTTGTCGGATTTGTTATCGATACTTTTATCGATTTTGTTATCGATATTTTTTATCGATTTTGTTATCGACATTTTTATTGATTTTTTTATGGATTTTGTAATCGACTTTGCTATCGAATTTATTATTGTTTATTTATCGATATTTTTATCGATTTTTTTATCGATGTTATCGATTTTGATATCGATATTTTCATCGATTTTGTTATCGATATTTTTTTCTTAGTGTGTGCTTTCGTTTTTGACTTAGATATGCTCTGAACCATACCATGTATTCTACGTTTAAATTCAGCGGCTGTATTTCCGATACAGCCTGCAGGCCACGACGAAAGCGCTGCTCTGTTCCTTTTTATTAGCAGGGTTGCGCTCTGTGTATCACATGGCCTAAGTGTGCCTCTTTCCGAACTACCTACATACCTATCGCCTGTTGGGCCGCAATGAATCCGTGATACATCATACAAAGCACGATACTGATAGCCATGGCTACTGGTGCTTGTCGCCATACATAACAGGGTCATAATTGGATTTCTTTGACAACTTCATTTAAACGTTGTTTTCGTAGAGAAGCAAGTTTGTATATTCGTCAACAAAATTTACCCAAATATCAATATCCAAACACATAGCAATTTTTTAAAATAGCACTTGCACTCTCTTTCACGGTTTCAGACGTTGCAATCGTTCATACAACTATGGGTTTAGATCAAAATTTTGATCTTCATTGAACCGGTGGAATAACTTCAAGCAACCTTGCTTCAGATGTTGCAATATCTGCAAATTTTAAGGCAACCTTTTGCATGCCAAGATGAATGGTGTAGGCTTTGCTTAGATATGGAAAGACCAACATACTGTGAAAACACACATGAAATTTGTTTTTGTTGTAAGAATTCTGTTTGTTGTTCCTTTTGCTTTATAGCATTTTGCAACTGACGATTTCTCAATTCCAGATGATTTACACACTGGGTAATACTGTGATGCGGTGTATTCTGGATCTCGATAGTAAAAATTAATTGATTTGCAATGCAAAAATACATACAGTTACTTACATAAGTACATAATAAAAATTTTCTAGAACGCAACGAAGAAGCCCGTTGCACATTGCAGGTCCATAAACAAAGCCGTAACTTCATACAACCCGTGTTTCTATGTAATTCAGCAAATCATTTATCACTTGTATCCGCAGCAGTTTTTTAATCTGAAAATGTCAACTTATTAATACACATTTAATTCATAAGCAGTTTTTATACTTACAAAATGTTTAGATGCGCTAGGAAGGAAACAAAACCAAAACAAGTACCAAATTCGCAGTTGTAAATTTTTCCGGTGATGGGGCGATTATCAACTATCGATTTTTTAAACTACCAATATGCAAACGTTTCGATAAAACATAATGCGGGTACCTATTGGAATCAAAGCCTTAATAATGAATTACGTATTGAGTAAACGGTAATATTTTTAATTCTGAAAGCATTTGAGAAATTGTTTAACAAAATATATTCGAAATGTGTAAGTGTGTGTGGCGTTATTTATGCAGTTGGGAATGTTGCTATGATCAACGAG